ACCTTGTCATAATAAAGTATAAGGTGCAAAAACAGAGATAGAAAACAATATTGAAAAATGCCATTAAATTCATTGCTGTTATATCCCAAGTACTACTGTTAGGCAGATTTGGTTGAACTCTTAGGAGTGTGGATATAGGAAAAACAGAGAAAAACTTTTGATAGCTGACAGGAATAACCAGAGGCATGGAAATACAGCTCTATATGGAGTCTGAGACTGAGATTTAGTTTAGAGTCCTGATTAATAAATGTTGCCTGGTATGAATATATAAAATAATGATTATTACAGGCATTTCTGCAGAGCCTGGCGTTTATGAATAAAGCTAGGCACAAAGGTTCTTTCCTAGCCTATAAGAATTCTGGAGATTTCAGAAAGGTCTTGTTAGTATTAGGACAAATCCTTTCACATTTTCCACAAAAGCAGAGATACCCAACCTGTTACAGACAATAGTCCACTGGTAATGACAGTTGCCTTGGATGCATTAGATATTCAGCTGGATTTAAGTCTCTATTCAACTGGGTTCAGAAAAGGAAATTGAACCAAAGTTGAATGTCTTAAAGGATAATGCCCTAATGATTAGGCTCTGGGTATTGTAATGCAGATTTCTCTCAAGGTTTCTTGTTGAACAGTTCCAATTTCAATATATTAGTTATGTGCTATTTGAAATTAAAGCTTCCTAAAGGAAGTTACTTTAAACTACCCTTGATATGAGAGAGGTTTCAGGTTTGATAAAGCAACGGTTTCTATCAAAAACTCAGTTAACTTGAAAAATTCCCTAGCAGCGTTGCTATTTCCAAGAGCAAATGCAAATAAGTTTCAGACATTTGTGAACAGTCTTTTTTTTCTTTTGTGGCAACAGTATAGAGGGGACAGTGAGACCAGGCCATGCAATCTTTTTCTGTTCAAGATATCAAATGATTTAAGGCTGGGGAATCATTGCTATTAATCATCCATCAACAAACCTCTCATATAAAATGAAAATAAGAAAATACACAATAAAATGAGAAGTGTTTTCGTTTAAAATTATCAAGGGAAAACACAACAGTATCCATATTTTTTTTTTGCTAAGTGACAACGCAGTTGACAATTTTTATATGTGGGAGGATAAGGCCTTTAATCTGAACTTTAACTAACATATGAGTTATCTTTACTGTGATTTCCTTTTATACTTCCTACCTGTAATCTTGAAAATACGTGGTTGCCAAATGAAATACTAATTTTCATGTGATTTTAACTTTAATTCTGTTTTTCATTTCTATAGCTTGTCTTACATTTGACTATTACCTGACTCTTATCAAGACGCTTATTGATCACAACTTTTAATTATTCTAACTGCCTTATGCAGGGCTTCCCAAAGTATAATGATTCGAATCAACTAGAATCATGTAATATAGTTTATCTGCAGTTATACAAAAATTATTCATTCTTGAAGACCTCTACTGACCTCCAAAGTTTACCAGTCTGTCTAGTCATAGCTTTTAGAAATTTTCCCTTCTGCAGAAATATTTCCATTTTCTCCGCTCTCCTACTCAATTTTCCAATTCCAGGTTTTTTTCAGTCCTCTCTATCCTTCTCTGTCATTATGTGGGTTATTAGTGTTTTTTAGCGATTTATCCCAAATTCATAACACCGGTATATAAGCAGCCATTGGTTTTCCCCTTTCACATACTAACAAACACCCACTTCTCTAGAGCAATCAAGCCAACGCTGTGCTAAGTAGCTTCACACACCAGTAGGTTTCCATAGGCACACAAAATCATGAATACGATGTTGATTTCCAATATTTATCAACTTAACTTCTGTTCACTGTGAAAGGAGAGATAGCATTAAATTGTGAAAATGGTAGCCCTTCTAAAGACAGATTATCAGACAATTAAAGTCCTGTGTGGGGAAAGATAAATGCTGCCAAATGAACTGCACATGAATCCACTCAGTCAATAACCAGGATACAGATTGCATCCCTCCTACTTGTGCTGAGTGCTATCCTACTATATGAAAAGCTCCACTTGCAACGAAAATAGACACTAGTGGGGCAGAAAAAGACTCGTCTTTAAAACCAACAGCCTGTCATGAATGCAAGTTTCTATTCCCCCCACCCCCAATTTACCATATTACAAAGCAGCAGTAGTTCACAGTGTTATACATTAGGATACCAAAATAGGTGATACATCTACTGCCAGAAAAGTAACGTGTAATGAATCACATTATTCCTCCAGTGTTTTAAACAGGTAGAAACAATACTAAAAGAACTGCCAAGAAGGTCCGCATTTCTAATTTTATATTGTCTATAGCTCTCCAGACTAAAAATATTTCACAGATGTCATCTTCAAAATTAGCATTTCTATTAAAAAGACAACCAGACTCATCCTAGTTGATTTAGACATTGTCTTACCAAAATAATTCCACTGAGGCAGATAAATGCATTTGCATGAATAAGGACCTGCACTGCAGGAGTTAATAAAAACATATGTATTGATTGATAAAAATAGAATGATAGCCTAGGAATTAAGTCAGAAATTTTGACAAACATTTGTTTTATAACTGCAATGCAGTTCATTTGAGCTCAGATCTAATACGTACTGCTCTACAGAACTTCCTGAAAAGCTTTAACGCATTTAAAGCCATGTCACTTTTTAGACCCTCAAAACACACTGCGTTTTTCTATGGTTCATAACTGTCAATGCACTTTGGAACCACAAATTCTTCCTATCATCTTGTTTAATTATAACACATTCTTTTAAAGTTAACTTATGTTTGAAAAACAGGTTCATAAAAAGCCCTCAGTTCTACATTCAAAGGAACTGTTAAATTAAACTAGTTACAGGCCTAAAAATATGGGAATTCAAAATGGGATGTGAGCAGAATTTAGGCACCTCCAGCCAAAATGGTGGTCCTCAAGGCCCCCCACCTCATTCTGGAGGTGTCTGTTCTCTGACAATGGAGCTCTCTACGGTAAGAAAGGCCAGACACAGGAGCTGCATCCCGGTGCATGGCCAGAGGTTACCTACCAGTGAGGACATCTCACGGCACATCTTACGTCTAAGCCTGACGTGGATCTAGAAATGAAGCCCATGCCTGTATAGATGATCTGAGGAGTTGGATCCCACAGGTGTTCTCAAAGCCAGCCTAATAAACATCAACTGGGTGGATTCCCTACAAAATTCTTCAGGGGCTATTTCCTTCTAAAATGGTACATGAACAGCAGTCATTCCTAGACTCGCAGTAGGACCACTCATCCCAGAAGCAAAACCCCCAGGTTCAATTCCTTCTTCAGTCGAGGACTCAAAGCAATGTCTTTTAGCAGAATGTTCTAATCAAGAGGCTACAGGCTGTATTAAATGCTGGGACGAGGATAGGGATATATTAAAGCTCTCCTGTTGAAGCTGTATGATTTTACAGAAAATAATTCAAGATTCATTGGGCCAGAGAAAGAACACAAGAGGGAGCAAGAGTCTGTAGCCTAGTGATTTGGGCGCTCAGCTGGGAAAGAGAGTCCTGGGTTCCTGGCCTTCACTCCATAGAAGGTTCATGCACTTTATCCAACAGCCTTCCCAAAATGTAAGTCCTAGCTTGAATCTGGGTATGTTTTCCTTCTTGATCCAAGTTTGTAAATAACATTTTGTGTAAACACATTTAACAATTCAAATTTCACAAACATCAACATGTCTTTTGTATGGTTTTAGTGTTGAATTTTAAATAGAGAACATCAACAAAACTGAAATGTGTCAAAACCCTACAGCTTATTTCATATTAATTTTGCTTTATATGTATATAAAATACAAGAAGTTACTTGAGGGCAGGTTAAAAGTAGTATTAAAATGCACATACATTTATTTACCTGGGTCACTAATGCTGCTTTGAATTACTAAATTGGAATTTATTTTTTCATCTCATCTTTCTCTGAATGTGGTAAGATTTTTAAGAAGTTATAACAACAGTAATAGACTTCTCATATCTTAATTCTGCTCAGTTTCTGATTCTCACTTAATAGTATTTTCATTTGCTGTTTCTCATTCCCTAGTACAACAGTGCAATGTCATGCAGGCGACTGTTTCAATCCAAGCAAGTTTACCCTGAAATTCCCACTCCAACAATTTCATGGACATATTTCTGTTTTTGCTAAACATTCTTTTTATAATGGCTTCATTTTGGGCCTAAGCCTACATAACAGGGTCCCTTTAAATAATATTCCATGCCTTGAAACATATTACAAAAACTGTTATATCAAGGCAAGTTATGCAACAGCTCTCTATGGTTTTAGCATATTTACTCTGTCACGCCATATGTGAGACTGCAGCCTCCACAACAAAACCTTTACACACTGAAGTCATTATCTCTGTGAAGTCTGCAACTGGCATTTAAAACTTATTGATGGCCTGGGTATTGGTGGCTCAGTAGGCAGCACTCTTGCCGGAGGCCCAGAAGGTCAGAGGTTCACATTCTGCTCAAAGAACAAGTTGGACATATTCCAGGATTGTGTGTGGGCTGTGCTAGACTCCTAAAGGGGCAGTCCTTAGGACAGTAAGTGAAACCTTGGCTGTTTTGTGGCTATCAGAGTCCTCTTGGAAATGGGCAAGGAAGAGTAAGCAGCAAGTTTAATATGCCGGAAGCAAGTGAATGAAAATGAGCATACTTGCCGGGGACCTGGATCTTGCTGTGTGCGCTGAATCCGTATTCAGGATTCCCGTGCAACTACAGGACACTGAACAGTATTAAACAAGCCAGTTTGGTCCTTCTGGTAAGCGTACGTTCAAGAGACAGGTACTTGCTCAGCATTAACCAACTTCCATAATAGCAGAATGACTCTGGATTCAATTTCACACCATGGAACGCACATGAAAAATGGATGTGTAGTTTTGGTAAGTGAGGAGTCTAAATAAAAAAGGTTTAACACTGGTAAAACTTCAGCGCGTACTATGTAATCACGAAAAAAATCTTCAGCCAAACATCCAAGTCAATAGTAGCAACATATATAGAGAATAATATAAATGGAGATTCAACCTGCTCTGGTGTTAAACTTTGATACTTGAATATCCCAGATGTCTCCCTCCTCCTCTTCTTCTTTATAGACAGGTAAAGATGGATCTCTTGAAGGAACTGGGGATCACACTCTAGGCAAAGGTTGGACAGGTGATCAATGTACAGCATGAGATTTTGCCGTGGCTATGTGCCTCCAACAGTGACTGGATCATCTGGTTTAGAAAAACAATTCAAAATTGTAATATTTTCTAATGAAATTATTTAGGGAAAAATTAGCAAAAGGGAGAACAAATTTTTTTTATAACATGGAATGTATCACAGACTGCTTCCCGTAATTATATAGCTCATTTTTAAAATTAATTTATTTCTTATTTAGCATTTAGTTCATTACTTTTTTAATTCTTTAGAAGTTAGCCTTTAGAGGACTGTATCCCATTTCCATTGGCAGAATGTGTTCAATAGTTACCAATGAAATATGAAGTTATTGTAATAAGTTTCAATTTCTTTTTTTGGTGTCTAACAAAACCATACAAAGTGCCAAGGCCAGGCCTGGCCCATTATTTAAACGGGCTTTGGAGCAAGCCACTATTTATTAGCCAAATGGGATTCTACTCTGTAGTACACTTCAGGGTGATACTCACAGAGGTTAATGTTTGCTACTGAAGATTCATCCCCCAACACTCCCTCCGTTGTCAACCGACTGAACGAGCATTTTCTAAAGGAACATTAGGAGCACCTAAGGTAAGACTGTTCCTTCTAGCATTTAGGAACATCATCTTTTATCTACCTATATTGTACATAGTGCCGCTTTTTTTCTTACCATCACAGAAAACAAGTAATTCCCTCCTTCTCAGAAATATCCATTAGTATAATGGATCTTTAAGTTTAAATTTGGTGAACTCAACCTGTATTAAAGCAAATGTTCACACACAGTAAAGGAGATCGTGAATTACAAGCATCATGACATATTTAGGCTATCACACAGTGTGTAAGCAATGAAAGGTTCTTAACCAAAACAAGTTAATGATGGCATTATTTCTAGTTTAGAAATAGAGGAACCCATAGCATAATGCCAGTGCAAATTTAAAAGAATGAGGAGTTCATTTTGTTGCTAAAATATGAAAAGAAGCTATTTCAAGGAACGAAGGATGTCCTCTTAACCTGTGACAACAAATTTGTTTGTTTTTTTCTCTTCTCAGTAAGAAAGCAATTAGGGTTTTTTCCAATAAAAATATCCTTGTCCATATATAAACACTCCTGGTAATCATGTAATTACCTTACCCAATCAGGTTAAATTGCTGTCAGTTGAGTTCCCACTGTTGATTAACTTTCGTGTACTCTAAACCTAAATGAAGTCTTTGGTAAAGTCACTTAGTCATTTACAAAGGTGTCTCTATGATTCCAAAAAGTATAACAGCAACATATTATTTGCTATAATCATCGAATATCCAAGGTCACGGATAGATCACAGTGGACCCCTTTTCTAAAAGCCAAAGAAATACAGAATTAAACTATGTTGCTTATTTTTGTGTTTCTTGCCATGACTTCTCAGTGTAATAGTAACCTTTGACCTCCACACATTAAACACCATAATTATGTAATTAAAACTAATTATGCAATTTAACATACATATTTTTGTCCTACAACAGGCAGGTCAATTACCTCACTCATTGACCTTGGAAGCTTTCACAGTTTAAACAAAACAATGAGGCTTTCAATTAATTTTAAAGTACAAACAGAGAAGGAGCAGCAGAACCACAAGTCTTCAAGCTAATACTGCAAAGATGGATCACTTACAAATCTCTTCATTTTGTATTACATAAAATAAATACCTTGATAAAAACTTCTAAACGTCTCTCTTGTATGTTTCTATCATTAGAAATGTTAACACATTTGTGAACAAATCACGTACACATTACTTGCCAAACGCAAGCAGGAAAGGAGGCCATATATCACTTTTTTCTTTGTCCCACTTCTTTTCTTCAGTATGGTTTCCTTTGCTTCCTCCTATATTTCTGTACCTCTCTCCCTGTTTCACCTTCACTTTCTACAGTCTTTTTCTTTCCCCTTTTTTCTTTGTTATCTTCTCTGTTCCACTGCTAGCTGTAAAGCTGGATAGCAATTTATATATTATCAAACCGCTGTAGCCGTTGCCTTTCCCAGATGTCCCCTCGCATCCCTAACCCCATTCATGGGATGGTGTAGCTCATCAGATCCTGGCTCCTGCCAACGGTAATCCAGCACACTGAGGGAACTCTGGACTGCAGAAAGCTATAGCTAAAACAAACATGGTACATGCTCTAAAAACACTCTAAATTTTCCAGTACGGGAAGTGTGGTACAAGTGAGAGACACTTCATGAAATTGTTGAAATACACTTCACCTGGATAATGCCTTTATTATCTTCATATACTCGGGTAAGCTATAAGCACTGCACTGAAAATTTTAAAATTGTACAACAGAGGTTCACGCACCATTACATTGTGTCAAGGAACGTCTTTCTTTTCACGGAGTAAAATTATCATCATCATCATTCAACCATGTTTTTGTTTTTCAGTAAACTAATTCCCGTTCACTAAAGAACAATTCTTAAAGCACGTATAGGCCAGAAGCGCTGCATTAAATCGGATCACGTTCTGCTACCCTGTTTTTTCAATTGCTATCTTAGCCAGAAATAATTCCACCAAAGTTAATAGGCTTAGCTGTGAAATAAAGTGACAGACAATGTATATATAGGTATACCCATCAACCTACTGGCAAAATACACAGGCGAATCTTTGCTTAACTTCTGGAAAGCAAGGCAAAAATATCTACAACGCAATCTGTGTTTTGGTGCCATTTCTAACACCATTTTTGGAGTCCTTTCAGTTCTCTGCTTTAATTAGTCCGGACTTGCACAAGCAGCCCGAAAAGATACCAGTAAACCTCTGACATAACGGAAACAAGGAGCACAGAGCTCTGAATGAGCAGTTACAACAGGAAAGAAACAATTTAAGATGGTAGCAGGCCTTATTGCAACATTAAACCTCAAATTGGATCTGATTTATATAAAGTAAACCGATATATTGAAATAGTGCCCCAAACTTCTGGACAATAGTTTGAAGGAAAATAGTATCGCGCATGTCTAGAAATTCTATCCAAGGGAACGAAAGAGATTATTCCTTATACTCTGATTTAACAAAAAGGTTCCTTCTGTTTTGAACGGAACATTGAAATTGTAATTCAGCTCATAGAGCATCCCGACCAGAGCAGCGAAAGAATGTGTGAAGGAGTCCAAATATGGTGCTATTGAAGCAGCGTGGATTAGAGGAACTGGGACAGAATCCTGCAAGTGGCTAAAGAGCAGCAGGAGATCAGCTTCACAAGCAGCGGGACGCTGTTCTTGCCAGACGTGAGTGACATAATACAGGCAAAACAATCAAGATTTCAGCTGATAAATGTATGCATTAGGAAAAGGCCTTGCCGTAGAACTTTCGAACTTAGCAAACTTTTAGGTAAAATCTGTAGACCTAATTTACGCTAGAGAGCATTTTGTCTTACATGAACATGTCATGTTAATCACGTAAGACAGAATCCTTCCTTTACAACATAAAGGCAGTAATTTTTAAGAGCCTAAATGCAGAAAAAACGAGAGTATTTGCTTAATGATTCAGAAATGGATAAAGCCAAAAACTTTTGTAGTTTGATACAGCTTCAATTCTGTCCAGGTTAAATATAATGTAAAAATATTATCCCCAAATATCTAGGATATCTGGAATGAATAAGTAAAAAAAACCTATATAAGGCTATTGATTATTCATAAATTCCATATTATAGCAGTAGTATTAGAAAAGTTTTAGGGTTCCGACAGGAACAGTTGCAGTTGTAACGAGACATATTAAGATACCAAAATAAGATGCACCTAATGAAAAGAAGGATCAATAGATCATTTTGATTTCTGAATTTGATGGGATTTTATAAAATCGCACTTTCATTCTAAACACCTATTTTTCACTCACACTGTATTAAAAACACTGTTTAAAAGGCTGAGATGCCACCTACTTTCCATCTTGCGCTAAGAGCAACCAGAAGAAAATTTATTCAATTGCTTTTTAGCTAGGGAGGTGCAACACACGATGCGTAAAACATTGATCTGTCTGCCCCAAGTTCTTCCCCGCCCTCCACAAAATATCCTTGTGGACTAATTACTTCAGTGAGTTTGAAATAAATTATAATTCTTAGGTCAAGAACAGATTCCAGCCTGGAGTAGAGGCCACACTTCCCCTTGACTCTCAGAACACTGACAGACAAGAATTTCCGGGTGGTGAGGCGGCTGCAGGGAGCTAAAGCACCCTGGAGCACCCCACAGGTCCATCCGCCACAGCGCCCTTTCTCCTGTGGCGGCTCCTGGTGTAGTCTCCCAGCTTAAGCGACCTTCACAGCGTAGAGTTTATGCATTGCAAACAGTATCACAGCATTTAATAGCCTCTGATGGATTCTTGCCCCCCCATGAGTTCATCAGATCTCTTTTTGTACTAGTAAAAACGCTGGCACTCACAGCGTCATGCAGCAAGACATTCCATAGATGAATGGCAGTTTATAGGAAGAAATACCCCATCCTTCCCCTCTTTTTTTTTTTTTTAAACTCTCCAACTGCTAATTTTATTTGATACTCAGTTTAATTATAACACGAGGGATAGTAAGCAGCTGTTTTGAATTCACTTCTTCATCAGGGATGGCTTTATACTTTCTGGAAACTCACAGGCATTTGGTTAAACCTTATTAGTTCTCCAGTCATCAATTATCCAGTTGACTGTTTTCATTCAGAAGCCAGTTCGAGAGGCAGTTGTGCCTTTGAGAACATGAGCTATAGTGATGAAGGAGGCAGGACGGAGAAAAGGCCAACCAGACGCACAGAGGCACCGAGTTCCCCTGCCGTGGCTTGGGCAGCCGCGTAAGAACATCATGACGTTTGCAGAAGATACCTGAAGACTGTGTTCCCTCAGCACGTAACCAGCAGTTCACTTATCGTCTGATCACAAAACAAGCATTTCACATTGCACGATTGAGTGAGGGAACGTGACAGATGATGTCTGTATATTGATAATTTGATGGACATAGAAACAGATTTATGGTCATTTCTTCTTGAGAAAGACCAGATTACAGAGCAGATCAAGTCCTTGCTAGCTGGTTCCAATCTATGGATCTTGTCACAAGTTGGCCATCTGTGATGT